TTACATTCTAATCTTTCTTTTGTTCTATTTTATTACAATATATTTATTGTGCAAAATAACAGGCTTCATTTTGACCTTTTCTTGTTTCATCACTGTGACATTTTCACACACGCACACACACGTACTTTGATCGTATTAATACCTTCTGTACCCTCAAACAAATCACACACTTGCGAGAACTCCTGGGTTGTCAATGGAATCCACACACATCTTTATAAAATCATAAAACTCTATTCCCCAGGATGCTTCTCTTCCACTATGGGGCTAGGACAGAGCTTGTAACTTTTGGACCTGTAGCCCCAAGGCCTGAGGAAGAGCATTGGCTCATAGTATTTATTGAATGAATGACTTAATCCAAGGAATAAACGAATGAATAAGAGGCTTGGGGATCTGGTTCAGTGATAGAGCTCTTGCTTAGTGTTCATAAGACACTGGATGCGTTCAGTTTGATCTCCAATGCCTAAATGAATTAATACTTAATTTATCTGTTTAAATAAAACATTAGTGGATATTTACCTTTGTATCTCTATGCACTTCCTCCGAACCAACTGAAGAACGCATTTATAGTTCAGACATATCTTAACTGTTATTGTAAACCTCTAAAAGACCAAGCTGGTGAAATGGAAGCACGAAGAAGTAAATGGTTTTCTGGTTAAAAGATTTTGGCCAGTGGATTTTTTTCCTTAACTCATTTATTCAAATAGTTACAGAGTATCTATTACTGGTCAGCGATCTTCAGAAGGGGCAGTATTTGTTCTCATGAAATAGACATGCTATCGACAAGGCAAAATGAGTGCCAAGTGAAGATGAGGTGACGGACCTGGGAGAGTAGAGCTCTGTTGTGATCTTACCTGTGCTGAAACCTGACCAAAGGACAGAGTCAAAGGGCAGTGGAGAGGAGGCACTGGGAGGCTGGGGGAGCTCCCTAGGGTGCTCAGTGTGTGGAATGGCAAGGTGAAACTAGAGGCAGTATGTGAACTAAGTAAATATTCTGAAGCTGTCTTTTCCACACAACCTTTGGAGTGTCTTAAAAATAGCACTTACTTACTATATCTTAAAATAGTGGAAATATTTCTAGGGAGGAAAATGAAGTTTCAAACACACAGCAGCTGCAAATGTTATCCCTCCATTTAAATATTATTTAAAAAAAACGAAAAACCAAAATCAAACACATAGCATACATAAAGAGCTTTAAAAAAAAAAGACAAAAGCAAGGCAATATTGAATCAGATAATATTGATCTTTCTTTAAAAAAATGATTTTCATTGCTATTAGGAGAGATTCAAAATCTGCAATAAGAATACTAGCTTGTTGATTAATTTAAAAAGTATTGATTGAGTGCTTGTTAGTCTTTTAGGCTGGGGAGATTCTACTGTGAGGGGGTGGAGCCAAGCTTCAGTTCCCACGGTGTTCACTCTCAGAGGGGTAGAAGCCAGCAAGCAAGAAGACTGATAGATTATAAACATACAAATAAAATCAATATACAAGCAAATGGACCAATTAAACTCTGATGTGTGAGCACTGTGAAGAAAATAAAATAGAATCTTTGTTGGAGAAAACCATCTAGTGCTTCAGCACCCCAGGCTCCATATTCTCATCCCAGGGAATGTAAATAAGGCTGTTCAGTCTCTCCCAGTTCCTCCCTCATTTTCCAGAACTGCCTTTTCTTTTTCTTTTCTTTTCTTTCTTTTTTTTTTTTTTTTGGTTTTTCGAGACAGGGTTTCTCTGTGTAGCCCTGGCTGTCCTGGAACTCACTCTGTAGACCAGGCTGGCCTCGAACTCTCGAACTCAGAAATCCACCTGCCTCTGTAGAACTGCCTTTTCAGGTCTCAGGCACAAATGGCAGCTGCTCTTGGTACTTCCATTGGTACACTCCTCTCCTATCCTTTAATGTTCTTTACATTGACATTGGCTCAATGACTGTCTTACTATAGAGCGGTCTTGTGATAAGAGCTACTGACAGATCTAAATAGTGGTCAGCAGACCATTGAAATGAACACAAGGAGAGGGTTTTTTTTTTCCATTTCATTGTCATGTGGGACACGTAATTAGGCTGAACAGAAACTAAATATTCAAGAGTGTTTGTTTGGATGGTTCTAGAGTGTACTCAATAGCATCATGAGCTTCATCATGTGAATAATTACCTAAATACCTGAAGCATCTTCATGCTTATGAACGAGCATGGGAAAACAGGTCGAAGGAAACAGAGGCAAGATGTGTATTTGGACCATGGAAGGAATAAATGGATAGGAACTCTTTTTCTTCTTTTACATTCTGACTGCTTTTTCTTACTAAATGAAAAAATCTGTCCCCCTCTCTAAAACCTCTTAAACACATGTACATTGTAAAATCTCTAAGGCAATACAGAAAAAGATAAAGAAGGTTAAATGGTTAATGACGATTGTACTTTACTTGCCTGTATGCCCATATAGACTTGTAGGGATTGGGCATTTAGCTTAGTGGTAAAGAGCTTGCTAAGGACCATCCCTAGTACTAGGGTAAAAACACAAATATTTCTCTCTCTCCTCTCTTCTCCTCTCCTTTCCTTCCCCCCCCCCAGAAATGTAGACTTCTATCTAGAATCCAGATATATTTCTTTTTTTTTGAGCGTTGGTCTCAGATGGCATTCTGGCTCTGAATTCAATCCCTGGGACCACCCAAAAAGTGGGCAGAAAGTAACAGCGTTTGAGCAACATAGCAGGCTGAAGCACACACACACACACACACACACCAAAAAATGTAATTTATAGATTAAAACATTCTATATTATGTCTAGTATTTGTTTTAAAGACAGAGTCTCAATCTAGCCCATGCTGGACTGGAACACACTAGGTAGTCCAGACTGTCCTTGAATGAATTGCAGTCCTGCTCGATCCTCTTAGGTACTTTGATAACAGGCAAACACTGTGGTGGCCAGCTACATTGGGGCTTTTGACACACATTACCAGATTGTCTTTTAAAAGTTACATGACCTTTGAGCAGGTAGTAGTGGTACAGGTTTGAAATAATAGTACGAGTACTTGGGAAAGCTCGACTGTAGATTCAAGGCCAGCCCGGGTCTCACAGACAGACTCTCCATTTAAAAATGTAGTCTCACGCTTAAATCTCAGGCTGGCGCCGGGGAGTGGTGGCGCACACCTTTAATCCCAGCACTTGGGAGGCAGAGGCAGGCAGATTTCTGAGTTTGAGGCCATCCTGGTCTACAGAGTGAGTTCCAGGACAGCCAGGACTACACAGAGAAACCCTGTCTCAAAAAAACAAAAGCAAATCTCAGGCTGGCCTGGAATTCATTATGTAGCCCAGGATGGCCTCCAACTCTCAGCAATCCTCCTGTCTTAGCCTCCCCAGTTCGGGGGGGGGGGGTTTATTGTGTTCTTTTTTTTAAAAAAAATTATTTATTTTATGTATGTGATTATATTTTCCCTGTCTTCAGACACAGATGAGAGTATCAGATCCCATGACAGAGAGTTGTGAGCCACCACGTGATTGCTGGGAATTGAACTCAGCGCCTCCGGAAGTGGAGTCTGTTCTTAACCGCTGAGTCATCTCTCCAGCCCTTTACGGCGTTCTTAAACGGTGAGATAAACAAATAGTTTAAGTGCTTTACAGAAGATTAAGTAGGTAAGGGCGCTGGAGAAGGTTAAATAGAGTGGTCACAGGTTTCTCTGGAAGGTGAGGTGAGGCCTAGACAATTAATGTAAAAATATCAAAAGAAAAATATTCTAGTGTAGTTTATGTGTGTGTATTTTGTTGATGTTTTGTTTTTTGATTCTTTTTTTCTTTCTCTTTTGGTTTTTCGAGACAGGGTTTATTCTGTGTAGCCCTGGCTGTCCTGGAACTCACTCTGTAGAGCAGGCTGGCCTTGAACTCACAGAGATCTGCCTGCCTCTGCCTCCCAAGTGCTGTGATTAAAGGCGAGCCACCATCGCCCAGCTTCCAGCCTAGTTAAGCAAGTGATGTAGCAATAAGTTTTGGTTCGTTAGAACATCAGTCAAAAAGCTAGTCTACCCGTTCTTTTATCAGAAACCAGATAAACAGGGTGGGAACACAGAGGCGTCCTTAAAACGAGGGTTAGGGTTCTTTTCCTCTTTAACTGAACAATGGGAACTGAAAGCTGTAAGGCGCATTCCCTCCTGTCCTTTCTTTAGGCTTTAGCATCTAAGTGATGTTTCCTTAACCGCCCTTTTCGAATTTCACGGCCATCTGATTTTCCCATCCATTTACAAATCGCCGCCCCCTTTTAAAGTACTCTAGTTAGAGCCCTGTGGAGTCCTTCCTTGCCACTTTTTAACATTGCAAATTCACTTTTGTCCCTACAGTGTACTCCACCCCTTCTCCACTTTTAATCTCCTGTATATAGCAACAAATTGTTTTATAAATGTGTTCACCCTAGATTACCAAATCCCATAAGGACTGAGAATTCCTAGACTATTTCAACTTAATTTATGGTTCAACTTCCTCAACATCTACAGCTGTGCTTGATCTACAGTTGGCATTCGATAAATACATGTTGAATAAAATGTTGGCTGCAGTCTACACTAGTCTGGACTGTGTGGCTCAATGCCAGTTACACTGATACTACATTCTTGGTCTCTGAAAAGGGCTTCAAGCGGCCCGATTGTGACGTCCTTCAGCTTTCAAAATGGGAAAGCGAAGGTTCCCACAATTCTCAACGCGAAATTTCTCGCTACAATTCAAAATGGCGAAGGAGGGTGGGGCCTGTCACATGGTGGGCGTCCCAGCAGCATTTTTTTCCCGACCCGCCGCCCGCCTGGGCGGGTAGTCTACCGGGCCCCTCCTCTGCCCACTAGGCCTTTTCGAGGACTCTACTGGGATTGGCTGACTGGCAGTCTGGGAGTGGAGCTGTAAAGCTGGGACCGCAGCATCACTTCCTGTTGTGCGCAGTCGTTTCCTGTCACTGCTAGGTAACAATGGGCAAGATAATGGCTGCTTAGCTACGTCTCTGAGCTGGCGCTGTACTAGAGGCGGGTCTCTTGCAGGGCTTTAGAGGCGGTCTAGAGCGGGGCGGCGGCGGAGGTGCGGCGGAGCCCCGGTGGCGGCGGCGGAGCCCAGTGAGTCCACTCTTGGCCGAAACAGCGAGTAAGTGAAGGCACGGGCACCCTGAGAAACGGGATGTCGGGCTGGAGGTAGGCAGGGGCGCCGCGGCTCTCAAAATGGCCCGAGTGACCAGCCGCGGCCGAGACACCCAGTACGGCCTCCGGACCCGGGCTCGTGACTGCGGGGGGCTCCGTGGCGTAGTCGCCGCTGCCATTTTAGTTGGGTGGCGTGTGGCGGCAGGCTCATGGAAGAAGGGGAAGGAGGCGGGTAGGACTTCCTCTCCGAGGCTCTGGAGTCGGGGCCAGGCCCTCCCAAGCTAAGAATGCTGGGGAGGCGATCCCGGACTCAGGGCCTCAGGCGTGAGAATGGCTCCAGTGCTTCGCCGTACTCAGAGGTCCCCCCCACCATCGTCGTCGCCCCGCGTTGCGTATTGTGCTAGGATTTGGCTAAGTGGGGTGGAGGTGCTCTTAAGTCAGATGTTGAGAACTCTTGAGCCTTGAGATCTTCACAGGATTCGCAGAGCCCCATTTTGAACCCTTCTGTAGGGCACTGCCAGTTTGTTATCCTCAGGTTACGATGACAGTCTTCCCGGAGGATCGGGAACAAATGTGGTTTGCTACCCTGCTCCTTTAGCCCTAAGTGTATCCTTGGCCAGATATTACTAGAAGGGTTTACCTCCTCCTTAAAAGAAAGATAATCAAAAAACCAGAAAAGAAAAAAAACGGAGGGAAAAGACGTTGTGGGTTGTTTTCCCTGGTAAGTGTGGGAATTGAGCCAGACTATTTTCAAGTTAATTTCCGTGTGATCTGCCAGCAGTCCTACCCCTCCCCCACTCAGAAAAAAACCCCTAAGGGTCTCTGCTTCTGCGGGCGGGCGGTACCTGCCACGTACGCCGTAAGCTTAGTAACTAGTATTAACCGGTTGGGCTTCTGCTTCCTGAATACTCAGTCCCTTTCCCCCTTCTGCTGATTAATTTCAAGATGGAGGAGACAGCCACGTTCTTTCCCTGGACAGTTTCACCATACTTATTCCACAGGTTAGTCTGGCAGTCTGAGGCCTAGCAGACTAGTTATTTGGTTCTTTTTTTTTCTCTCTCTTTTGGAGGGGAAAAGGATTTATATAAGATTCTCATGTACTCTTGGCCGGCCCCACAATATTTTTTTTTTTTTTTTGCTAGAAATAAGTTGCCTACATTTCTTGAATCGTAATTAGCCACAGTGTGTTTGGATGATTGAAGACAGAAAGAATAGTAAAAATGTGGTCCTAATGATTTCTTTGATTCTTTATAATTAGGAGGTCGGCACGATTACAGGCCCACCTTCCCCCCCCCCCCAATCAGTTTCTGAAATACAGGTTAGGTATCTAAAAAGACCAACTGAAGCACCCTTTAAAATAACTATTTTAGGACAAACATTCTTGCTGAAAAGGTCACAAACATTCTTTAGCTTAAGATGTCCTGATGATTTTTATTTCTTTGATTTCTGCCTTAGGCTACTGTAGTGTACCAAATAAGTACTTGAAAGTGGCTCTTAGAACTTGAAAATAATTACTAGTTTGATAAGGAAAAGCCTATTTTAAACAAGCTTAATATTAAAAGCTAGATTGCCTCTTGGCCTTTAAAGGAAATCTAACTAAATTTATCTAACTCCTGGTTCCCTCTCACCTTGGTTGTCCAAATACTAATATTGAATTAGGTTGGGTTATGATATGTGTAACCAAAATATGTTTTTAGAATTTTTTTTATTTCAAAGGAAATATGGATTTTTATAACAGGAAGAATAATGAATGCCTTTTTTTTTCTAGAGCGGAGTGAAGAAAACTAAAATCTAGTATATTGGATTTCAGTACTATGTCCTAAAAGACAGGTAATTATTGTATTGTCTCCTGGTGATTTATAATATAGAATGCATTTTACAAATAGACATTCTGTTCTACAGTCCTGTGGTTGAATAGGTTCATTGGTGTTAACTATTCTTCATGATGGGTTCTTTTTACTGTGAATTCAAAGGGTACCTTTTCAGTACCTGAACATCATCTATACTTTATCTGTGACATCTGTCTCAATCTACCTACCTATCTATCGATCTTGCTCTTTTTCGAGACAGGGTTTCTCTGTGTTACCCTGGCTGTCCTGGAACTATCTCTGTAGATCAGGCTGGCCTGGAACTCAAGAGATCCACTTGCCTCTGCCTCCTGAGTGCTGAGATTAGAGGTATGCACTGATAAAAAGAAAAAAAGTATACTGCTTTTAAGATATTGTTAGAGACCTGGGTATAAGGAGTTGTTTTTAAATGTTCAGTGAATAAATATCAATAGAATGTGTTACTTTGTTTACTAATTTTCTCTTCAAGATTCAAGAAGTCATAATGGTATGTATTACTCTAATTGGAATTAATTTTTTCATTATTATCAACATTGTAAGATTACTATATAAATTACTTGTGCTAACCAGGATACTTAATAAGTATTCCTGGAAAGCAGATTGCAAACTTGGGTTGTCCTAAGCAAACTGGTCTGGATAGTTAACTAGGCTACATTTATAACTAACTTCTCTTGAAGGAGTATGTGCCAGGCTCTGTGTTTGGCATGTATTACTTCATAATCTTCACAGTTGGAACGCCATAGAGATATTAACTGTTTTAAAGAGGAAACTGAGACTACTCTTGAAAAACAGTTGTGCGGTTTGTTAAATTGTGGAGCACTCATTTTATCTCAGATCTGTTCCAACACTGAAGTCAGCAAACCTCTATACCTGTTGATTCTCCAGTTACCAGAATGCTAGTGGAAATTAAAAGTGATAATCTGTAAGTTATCTTGTATCTGAAACCATTATTAACTCTAATTTGCCTCAGTGAAACAGGCGAGAGGGGGAAAGTTATCTACCAAGTATATATTATTTGGGTGGTTTGCAATAGAGTTCTTGCCTCATCTATTAATGTTCTTGGTGTAAGTTGAGAAATTTACTTTAAAGAAAAGTCAGAGTGACATGGTGGCCTACATCTGGAATCCTGGCGGTTGGAAGGCCAGATATAGGAGGATCACCACAACTTGTGTTCACCAGATCTAGATAGTGAATTCCAGACAGGATTGTGAGATTTTGTTTAAAAAAAAAAATCAGGAGTCTTAAAGAAATAGCTTAATAATGATATTTTTCAGTCGATTAATATTGTAAATAAGGCTTTCAGTAAGAGTAGGTCAAGTAGAGCATTTGCATTTATAGAATTGCATTACATGTACTTTTTCCATAATCCTAGAGGACTGGGAAATAGAATACCTATCTGACTGACATCCTGTTCCTTTGATTTACCATAGAGTGGGTAATAGATAACAAAATCCAAACCAGACCAACGAGGTTCTGGATTTTTCATTCACTGCTTAGGAGGAGGACATTTTGTTTTGTAGGTATACTTATTTAACATGGAGATTTCTAAATCCTTGTGGCCCAGTTTATACAGTACTTTGAAATTTTGATAACCAATGCTCAGTAATAGTTGCATTTATTTTTCTTTGTTATTTATTTCACCTTTGTATAGGAATATTCCTAGATAGTTTAAAGCAGTTCATCTTTACCCCTTCAGTTAACTGAGGTGTTTTTCAAAGATGATTATCTTGTTTTTGGGGTAGGTATGTTTTTGAACATAGGGTTTTCCACCTGAAATTTGTAATTGTCAATTTTGGCCTAGATTTTCTCATATGACAATGCTTAAACTTGAGTTTTCATTCCATTAATCATAACAGCACCAATTAATGTATGAAACAAATATATGTAGTAGACAGCAGCACAGTTGTCTGCCTGCCTGCATGTGCTCGTGTGCTTAAGGTAGGTTAATGGTAATAACTGCATATCTACAGATTATACTGTTATTGCGACCTGTGACAGTAAGGGAGTCTGATGGGAAGGATTCTTTCTGGTTAGGGAGATATACTTGTTTGATAATAACTTAGGTGCAGGTATGAAAGGTTCTTAGTGTATGAGTCACTTATGATTTCTGTATAGCAACACTACCTCAGGAAGGATAGTTATTTATCATCATGGTTGATCTTAAAGACTTGTTTTCCTCAACTAAAATGAATTTGTTAGTATAGGTGATATGCCAGTCATTTTTTGGCTGTGTTTTATTTTTGATTGGGGGGGTGCAAGGTCTCTCCTGTAGTCCAAGCTATCCTGGAGCCAATTATATAGCAACCTCATGGAAATCCTCCTGTCTCATCCTCTGGGTAATTTAGAAAAATATTTTTGTTTTCTTTTGCATTGCTTTTTGATGAGATTTGTTATAGCCCAGGCCATCCTTGAACTCATGATCTTCCTACCTTAGGCTTCCAACTGCTAGAATTACAGGAGTGTTCCACAGGCCCAGATTGATAAGAAATCTTATATCCTGAAATAGTACTGTGGTTACTGATTACTGTCAACACTGCTTGTATCAATTACTTTTTAAGATAAACATAGAACCATAGGATATTTTTTGACTTTGGAATAATAAAAGAAGCGATTCAAAATTGAGTTATAGAGAACAAATTCTAATCTAATGAAGTAAAGCAATAAATAATAAAGGAACATAGAATGGGTGGCTGGAGATTTAAATTCACTAAATGACTTGAATGAGATGGAGTGTCATCATAGTGGCTTCCCACTCACCTGATCCTATAAATTGGTAGCATAGCACAGTTTTCTGTCCTTTAGTTTACTTTACTATATAGTTATTAATACTCTTTCGATTCAATTGTTTTAGAAACTTGCAGTCAGGCTGGGCGGTGGTGGCGCACGCCTTTAATCCCAGCACTTGGGAAGCAGAGGCAGGCGGATTTCTGAGTTCAAGAGTTCGAGGCTAGCCTGGTCTACAGAGTGAGTTCCAGGACAGCCAGGGCTACACAGAGAAACCCTGTCTCGAAAAAACCAAAAAAAAAAAAAAAAAAAGAAACTTGCAGTCGGAATTTGTGGACTGCTAGTCAGTACTCTTCCTGCGAAGAGCTTAGACATGAGGGACATTCCCGAATTCGTTTTGGATTTTCCAGCTGCCCTTTACATGAGGTAAAGATAGGAAATTATAAGCAAAGCTAAGTGTACATTACTATTTGGATAGCAGGTAATCTCTCCTTAATATGATGTCTCAGGAGTGTTGAATGTACTGCATGCTCTGCTAGTGTACTGCTGGAAATTTATCAACAAATTGTGTGGATGGTGAGCAGGATCTTCCCATAAATAAACACAGTAAAACAACTCTGTCCTGTTTTTTTTTCAATTAGATGTATAAGTATTTTACCTGTATGTGCATATATGCATTGTATGTGTCTGTTGCCCATGTAGGCTTGGGGAGGATGTCAGATCCCCTGGAACCAAAGTTACTGATGGTAGTGAGCCACCATATAGTGCTGGGAATCAAATCAGATCTTCTGTAAGGGCAACAAGTACTCCAAAGTAAGGAGCCATCTTTATCCCCTTGTTTTGGTTTGGCATTTTGTTTGTTTTTGATTGTGTATCCTAGAACTCTAATTCTGCCTGCTTCTGCCTCCTTAATGCTAGAATTAAAGGGAGGTTTCATTATACTGTTTTTTTCTTAAAAGAATGTTTTGTGTGTTTAAAAGTGAGATGACAGAAAAGCACAGCTAACCGTCTATCCACTTATATATTCTATTTTTAATGGAATTTAAACATTCTAGAAAGGAAAGGAAAAATTTTTTTGAGACAGGGTTTCTCTGGGTAGCCCCCACCATCCTAGAACTCATTATGTACACCCAGCTGGCCTTGAACTCAGATCCCTCTGCATCCTGAGTGCTGGGATTGAAGGCATGTAACATCACCACCTGACTAAGAAAACTTCTTAACTTTTTAGTATCTATGTATGTGATGGTACTTTTTATCCTGACTTCAAATCTAGTAGATCATTTGATTTAACTTTGTATATTACTTGCTTTTTATGAACCTGGGAATTGAAACTAGAGCCTTATGTATACCAGGCAAGTGTTCTACTACTGATTTGTAGTCCGAATCCCCTTTTTTACTTTTTATCCATGTCTCATGAAATTGTTTAACCTACCCTAGAACTAACTGTAGCACAGACAGGAAGATCTTGTGATTTCCTGAGACAAAGTTTTACTGTATATCCTCGACTGTCCTCAGACTCAGAGATCTGCTTGTCTCGAGTGCTGGGATTAAGGCGTCCATCACCATAACTGTCTATGGTTAAATAAACAGGTGGTTTTTCTTTTTGATATTAGTATTATTGAACTTATACTTTATTGAAAAAAATAATAAAGCTTAAGAAAGAAGTAGGATGCTGGGCAGTGGTAGCGCACGCCTTTAGTCCAAGCACTTGAGAGGCAGAGGCAGGTGGATTTCTGAGTTCTGAGGACAGCCAGTACTACACAGAGGAAATCCTGTCTTGAAAGAAAAAAAAAGTAGGATTCAAGCTGAGCTGTATGGCTCAGAGGTAGAGTGTTTGGCTGATACGCACAAGCCATTTCCAGCACTGTCAGAAAATTACAGAGCCAGCATGGTAACATGGAGCTAGGCTACATAGTGAGACCATGTCCCTCAAAAAAGCAGAGCAGAAAAGAGAGAATCCAGCTGTTTATGCCAGGACAAAATGCTAAGCAGGATGTGGCTCAGTATGGTAGGGTCCTTGTCTTACATGTGTAAGGCCCTAGGTTCAATCCTTAGCGCTACAAAAAAAAAAAAGGTTTTTTTCCTTGATTGAAAGCTTTTATACAAGGATTGGTATAAAAGAAGCTTATGGTGAGGTCAGTAGTTATCCCTATTGGGATTTGAGGAATACATTTTAAAGCACACAGTCTGGGGTGTGCAGGGAGGCAGTAGTCATTTAGTGAAAGGTTGATTGCCTTTGGACTCAGTAGACCTATATGT